CTGAAGCACTTCTGCCTTGAGTATATCTGCTAGTGCTTTGTTAAGATAAAAAAGAGAATCTTCAGTAAGCAAGCTGTAAATAAACTCCAGCTTAAAAAAAAACCATTTAAAATTATGTATGAACTGTGTATACCAGCAATCAGTGAAAATTTCCATTACCACTTAAATTGTTTGGAAGTCAGAACATATAAAAGCAATTCTAGACCAGGTCATAATTTAAAGGTGATTGCTTTAAATTCTAGAGGTTGCAAACATTTTCTCTTTAAAGGGCCTGAGAATAAACACATGGACACATTCAGTCTGCTCATATATTCTCAGGTTTTTTGTTTATGTTTTTTTTTCTCTCAGTTTTAAAACTCATAAACATGGAGAATCCTTTTTTAAGTCCGAGGGTACATTCTAAGAAGCCAGTACCTTAGTTTTAGCCCCTGGGATGCATTTTGCTATAGCTTATGTCAATTTAGGAATATATGGATTGACTCTCCTCCCAACAAACATGTCTTTTTATGCATGTTAAAACACTTTGGCTTCAAGAAATGATCTACAGATCTTCACTTGCTTCTTGTTCCCACTGTGATACCTGTATTGAAGTAATCCAGTAAAAAGCAGAGCCCATGACATATTGTACTTTATTATGGCAATTACCTCATGGGACTGTAGAGCTGATGAATTTCCACAGTCTGCAAGCTGGAGATCTAGTAGTTCAGCCCTTACTTCAAAGGCCTGAGAACCCAGGGGCCATTTGCATTCTGAGGATAAAGGATCAAGAACAAGGGCAGAGAGAAGATGAAGAAAGCTGCTTGTGTAAATTCTAGAGTGCAGACTCCTGAGAACCTATGTCCTATGTCCTATAGGAAGAGATATTTGATGTTATAGCTGAAGCAGAAGTTGAGTTAGCCTTCCTCCACCTTTTCGTTCTCTCCTGAATTAGATTAGACCAGTCATATTGATGAGGGTGATCTTTTTTTGCAGGTTTCCTTTCTCAAATGTCAATCCATTTCAGAAACAGCTTTGGGGACACATCCACGTATAACCTTGACCTCCCTTAGTCTAGTCAAGTTGATATGTAAAATTAGCCATGGTATAATTCTTTTAGCATTGAAAATATTTATAAAAGAGAGTGAGTGGTTAGTAAGTACTGGTGGCTTCTGCCTGTGATCCTAGCTGAGATCTGATTATTGTGGTTCAAAGCCAGCACTGGCAGCAAAGTCCATAAGACTCTTATCTCCAGTTAAATATGGAAAAATCCAGAAGTGGACCTGTGACTCAAGTGGTAGAGTGCTAGCCTTGAACAGAAGGCTCAAAGGCAGCACCCAGGCCCAGAGTTCAACTCTAGGATTGGCAAAAAGGAAAAAAAAGAAAGAAAGTGAAAAACTCTGAGTCTTATAGGGTATGGGGCAAAAATATAGTTATGTATAGATAAAGATATGTAAATGCCAGGCATGGAGGCTTATACCTGTAATATCAGCTATGCGAGAGAACCTACATGGAAAAAAATGTTTGGGACCATAATTCAAATGGTAGCGAGCTTGCCTAGCAAATGTGATACCCTCTATTCAAAATCTCACTAACCTTTCCTCAACTAAGAGGATGAGATATACAAAGCTTTGGGTTTTCTCAAACAAAATATAACTCTGGAATATTTCTTTCCATGATGATAACAAGCAATTTTTTAAAATCCCGAATCTAAGAATTCCCTGTAGCAGATGCACATAGATTCATCCATGTTCATAGAGTTTTTTCAACTAGACTTTGCTCTCTGTGAGTTTACGGACATGTGCCCTTATTCCTTTTCCTTTTGCTTTGATAGTTCTTCACTTCCACTGAAACAATAGGCCTTGGAAGTAAGTTTTTGAATAACAAAGTAGAAAGTGTGCTTTATGTGGTTTTAAATTCTGTATTAAATGTGTTTTTCTGAGAGTTCAGTAAGAAATAATTGCTTGGAGACTTGGAGAAGCAGTTTACCCAATGTCAGTGACAAATCTGAGTAAGAGAATTGTGCATGTTAATAAAATGATTTCACAATGGAACAGTAGCATGTATTTTTTAAAAAGAAAATTATCTCATTTTATATGTATAAGTGAACACGTGTGTGGGCAGAGATTTTCTCAGTTCACTCCTAAAGTTCCCTTACAAAAAAGTAAAATTACGAAGAATTAAAAGGCAAAGGATTTCTTTAGAGGTATGAAGTTGGCTAATTTGCCAGCTGGATGTAACTTATGTGATAAATCTTTCTTAACAATTATTTATCTCTCCAGTGCATAGTCTTACCCAAAGAATATTCTCTTATGACTTGATGATGTTCTTTTTTTTTCTTTGTAGAAAGTATCTCTATGTCACATCTTCTTTTAAAGGTGTATTTAAAAATGAAGTAAAAAAGGCGGAAGAAGCAGTAAAGATCGGTATGTGATTATTTGAAGTTCACATCATTATTATTTATTCACTCAGCAGATTCTAATTGCTCACTTATTCTTAGACATGCGCTGCTCTAGGCATTGTGGGCATCAAATGTAATTCCTACCTTAAAGGAATCTCTTTACACATTCTCTCCATGTCAAAGTTGGTTTAATCATATGACTTCCTGTTTGAAGTCTGATCCTGATCATAGTTATAATTAATCAGTTCATCTTTGGGATCCTTCTTGTCATGATGATGTGTTAGCTCCTAGTCAAGACCAGCATTGACCTACTTTAAGTAGGGTGCTGTCCACATTTGCTTTTCCCATAGCAGGGACAAGGCTGTGCCCTTTCCCGGTTTTCTGGAAGGAGCAGGAGTGCCTTCATTTTGGAGCATTTTCAGTCAGCCAAAGGTTGACTTACACTTGTGAATTTATAAGTGTAAACTTATGTCCTATAAATTGTCATGGCCCTGAGGAATCCCAACAGAAAGAAGATTTACAATGCAAAAAACTACAAAAAAGAGAACATAGGGTTGTCTGAGATTATGATCCTTACTGGTTGTGGCTCCAAGTATAGAAAACACCCCCCCCCAAAATTGCCTGCAAGGATTTCACTGCATTATAACTGTTGCCTCTGCTTCCAGCTGAACTTGAGTTGAAAGAAGCACAAATCAAAACAAGCCAGCCTAACACGATTTCTTTGCCTTCTGCCAAGGTAGGACATGTAAAGAATCATCTTCTTAAATGGCTGACAGTGTCATTAGCTTTTCCCAGGGCCTAGTTGTCTCTTACCATTTGCTTCCTAAACTTGTAAGCACAGGTGACCTCAGAAGATTAAGTTGTTTCTATCACAGGTAAATAGACTAGATAGATGAATGTAGGGAAAGAGGAAAGCCAACAAGAGGGTCTGGGGAGTGCAAAGAGGAACAGAACGTGTGGTAAATTTGGAACAGTGCAAAAGAGCATCGCAACAAATTTCCTTGAAATGAAAAGGAAAGTAATGCAAGAAAGGAAGAGAATAATGGAAAGCTAGCAGATTAAAAAAAATCTAGCCTAGCAAGTCTCCTTGAAAATATCTATTCAAATTACAGCTCTTCGTGTGTGCACATAAATGGCAAAGGCAAGAAGAAGAGTAATAAGCAATCTTGCTTTCTAGAACTAGGAATTACATTCCATAATTATGAATATTAATATCAGTGCTTCAGGCTTCCAAAGCTCTTTTCTTATGAGTTGCTTCATACAGTTCATAAACATTCTCTATAATCCTTGCAATATACCCATGATTAAGACAACTATTATTATTAATTATAACATTGCAGCTAAGAGAAAAAGACTATTGCTGCAGGGTATATATTATAAGTTTGCTAACTTTTGCCAAAAATATGGCAAATCATGTGCAGCATATTTATTTGTTGCTGTACAAAAAGATGAGCAAGAAAAGGCTTCCTTTTATCCCCTTCCATAGAGTAAATATATGAACCTTACTCAATAATTTGCACATAAACTTTCCAAGGACCAGGGCTGTGTCTGACAGTCTTCTACCTAACAGGCATGTGTAAGGAATGAAATCAGAGAGTAATGTGTGTAATATCCCAAATCGAAGCTAAATTATGACTTTCTCCAGACTCTTACTTTATGCTTTTTACTTATTTTTAAGCTAAAGGTAAACCTATCTTATTGTTATTGATTTTTTTATGTTTTAACTTTCTTTCCCCCTATTTTGTCTCTAAGAAATCAATACCCTTTGCCTACTCTATTTGAGAGTAGAGGGAGACATTGTTTCTAATAGGTCACACTGTTGCTTTCTTCGTGCCTTAGGCCTGCTGCTCTCAATGTCTCTTTGGTGGGTGCGCTCAGTGCCCTTCCAGGAAAGGTGGGCCTGGCTTTGAGCAGCTTGCTTTGTTGTTCTGAAGAACCTTCGTCCACTTTCATGCAAAGAAGAGGGCAGAGCAGAATGACCTGGACTTTTGACCTGTTAAATGCTCCTAGGCAGTAGAATTTGAAATGAAAATACTTACCCACTATTTCTCCTGTTCTTTTACTTAAAAGACAGTGAAATGGTATTCTGTCAGTGTTGTCTCCATCAAAAGAGGTCCCTATCTTTCACCTAAGTGGGTGAAACTTACTCAAAGTCTATTCTTATTTGTAAAGACAGTAGTAACAATTTATTCCTTTTCTGTCTGGCTAGAGCTTAATAAGGTAGTGAGACAATGTATCAAATTAAAGTGTAGATTAGGGAGACTATTGGCTGGCATTGGGGCTTTTCTAAAGGAAAAAAGAAACCCAAGCATCCCATAATAGAAAGGTTTGGGGGGATACTAGGAAGAAGTATCCAGAATTTTGTACCAAGGAGGCTGTTTTTTTGACTGCTAATGAAATTTATTAATTACTTGATCTTTTAAAATTATGCCATACATTTGAGCATCTGTTGTTCTCACAGACAAAACCTAAAGCCCAGATAAATTGGGTAAGTCACCCAGATCTTTTT